AAAGCAATCCTAACGAATCATGAGTGTGAATCCTTTGCAAGGAATCCGTATTAAATCATTTTCATAAAGGATTCGTCAATACGAACCCTCGGTACAGAGCGTCTGGTACGGGTTCTTCTGAACGAGGAATTGTTGCAAAGAGTCCCGAATCAAGAATACTGAATGGGGATTCCTTACCCGGGAGTCCTTTGGTCAGGAACCCTCACTATGGCTCTTGATACGGATTCCTGAGTGAAGAACCCCGAGTAAGGAATCCTGATCAACGAATCACGAGTAAGAAACCCTCAATGAGGAATCATTAGTAAGGAACTGGGGAATGTAGACCAACACTCACACAGTCAGCATAGAGCTCTCTTCTGGGACGGGGCCCTATACTCGTGGAACAAAATTTGGCAGGGGCACCTCGCCTGTTGTTCCTCCCCCGCCCTCTTCCTACTTCACATCGCGGCCCAACTGTCGTGGAACATGACAGTATGATAGGGACCGTGGGCCACCGCGCACACGCACACGCACACACACACAAACACACACACACACACACACACACACACGCACACACGCACACACACACAACAATCAGACTTAGCTCCTCCAGGCCACGGCTCCATACTTTAAGAAGATGACAACATGATGGGGGCCGTGGGAACCCGCGCACACGCACCACCATCACAATTGTATCTTCCTGGCCAGGGTTCAACGATTCTGGAAGCTAAAATCATGGCGGGGGGTGTGGGCTAACATTGACACACACACACACACACATTCATCATAGATTTATCTTCCAGGCCGGGGCTCAATGGGGGCCGCGGGCCAACACGCACACAGTCATTGTACGTTTACCTTTTTGGGCCAAAGGCCACCCCTGGGGGGGGTGCTGGGGTTGCTGGAATTGCTGGGGTTGCTGGGGTCCCCCGGGGCTCTCAAGTACACTTCACCCAACGACAGCAACAACAATCATCATCATCCTTTCCAGACTGCTCGCTCTCTTCTGCTCGCGCGCCATTCACCACGTATTTCCCAAACCCTCGAAACCCGCCCTCTTCGTCTTCGATCGTACCCCTTTGGGGGTATATCTTTCTTACCTGCAACATGTATTTCATGCAGCCCCTAAGGCAGGGGAGGAGAGGACGGATGGAAGGAAGGGACAAGGGACAAGGGGGGGGAGGAGGATGGAGCACGAGAGAGGGTAGCAGGAGGGGGGCTAGGAGCAGAAAACACGTGGCAGAACCAGACGGGCAGATCGGGCGGGTAGACCCTGACAGGCGGGTCGGGAAGGCGGGCCGAGGCGGCCAGGTCGAGCAGACAGGTTGCTGAAGCGTTCCTCCTGAATGAATCGCGAGAAAGTCTCGAGCGACAGCGCGATTCCGAAATAAATCGTGAGGAAGGCCAAAACGAGAGCTGAGAACTCAACACAACAACGGCAACAACGACGACAACAACGACAACAACGACGACAACAACAACCACAACCACGACTACGACTACTACTACTACTACTACTACTACTACTACTACTACTACTACTACTACTACTACTACTACTACTACTACTACTACTACTACTACTAACTACTACTACTACTACTACTACTACTACTACTACTACTACTACTACTACTACTACTACTACTACTACTACTACTACTACTACTACTACTACTACTACTACTACTACTACGACTACTACTACTACTACTACTACTACTACTACTACTACTACTACTACTACTACTACTACGACTACGACTACTACTACTACTACTACTACTACTACTACTACTACTACTACTACTACTACTACTACTACTACTACTACTACGACTACTACGACTACAACGACGAAAACAACAACAACCACAAAAACTATAGCAGCAACAACAACAACCACAATCATCATCATCATCATTTCAAGACTGTTCGCTCCGATCCGCTCACGTGCCATCCAATACGTATATCCCAACCCCATCGATACCCGCCCTCATCGTCTTGGATCGTACCCCCTTTGGGGTATATCTTCCATACCTGCCACGCGCATTCAGTGCAGCCCCCTAAAACAGGGGAAGAGAAAGGACGGGTGGAAGGGGGAGGGAGAAAGATGGAGCACGAGAGAAATTAGCAGGATGGGGGCAAGAGGCTGAAAATAAGTGGTAGAACCAGACGGGCAGATCGGGTGGGCAGACCCATAGCGGGCGGGTCGGGAAGGCGGGCCCAGGCGACCAGGATGAGCAGGTTGGAAGCGTGGGTCAAGCATAAATTGCGAGGAGGTTTCGAGCGATAGCGCGATTCCCAAGTAAATCGTGAGAAAAGCCAAAACGAGAGCGCGATTCCTGCATACATTGTGAGGAAGTCCCGCGCGAGAGCGCGATTCTTCAATAAATTGTGAAGAAGTATCAAGCGGGAGCCGTTGTTGTTGTAACTCGGCGGGAGCCGCTGTTGGTGTAACCGCTGGCCTGGGGGCAATTTGAGCACCAAGACGAGACGATCCTGTTTGAAAAGTAGATAAATATCGTTATTTAAAAGAATATAAGCAAAAAAACGGTGCGAGCCCCAGGCGGAACATCCCAATTAAGACAATGTGGACCGGGCATGGGGAATCAACAGTACTTACTCACCGACAATGTTAAAACTGTTCACTCTCATCTGATCTCGCGCCATTCATAGCATCTAGCCCAAGCCCTCGATCCCCGCACTCGTCGTCTTCGACCGTATCCCCTTTAGGGGTATATCTTCCCTACCTGCCGCACGTAGTTGGCGCAGCCCCTAAAACGGAGCATGGAAGGGAGGAGGGAAGAGAAAAGGGGGAGGAAGAAGGATGGAGCACGGGAGAGATTTGCAGGAGGAGGGTTAGGAAAAGGAGCACAAGCGGCAAAAACAAACGGGCGGATCGGACGGGCGAACCCTAACGGGGAGGTCGGGCTGGCGGGCCCGGACGGCCAGGTCGAGCAGGCAGGTCGCTGAAGAGTCGATCCAACATGAATCGCAAGGAAGCTTCGAGCGATAGCGCGATGACCAAGTATATCGATAAGAAATCTAAGAATCGAAAGCGCGATTCCTGAGTCCAGGGGGCACGGCGCCAGAATAAATTGTGAGGAAGTACCACGCGAGGGCGCGATTCCTGCGTAAATTGTGAAGGAATCCCGCGCGAGAGCGCGAATGTGGAATAAATTGTGAAGAAGTATCAGGCGGGAGCTGCTGCTGTTGTTGTAAACTGCGGGCCAAGAATACAGCTTGAGGACCAAAATTTTCCTTAATAGAAAACAGGGTGCGGGCCCAAGGAGGATCACTTCGATTCAAAAACACAATGTGCACCAGGCAGGGGGATCAACAATATCTATTCTCTATGAAAGAAAAATAACAAATCGTTGATTAACCGTTCGCTATTATCAGCTCTCGTGCCACTCATACCATATACCCCGAACCCCCGATACCCGCCCTCTTCGTCTTCAATCGTACCCCGGGTGCGAGCCCCGCGGGGAGCACTTTAAAAATCACAATGTACATTGGAGGGGGAGAATCAACAATAACTATTCTTTATAAATGAAAATTCACACAGCAATGTGAGATTGTCCGTTCTTATCTGCTCACATGCATTTCAGCATGTATTTCCCAAGCCCTCGATACCTCGGCAGAACCAGACCGGCGGGTCGGGTGGGCGGACCTTAATGGGCGGGCCTGGCGGGCGAATCCAGGCGGCCAGGTCGAGCAAGCGGGTTGCTGAAGCGTGCGTCCTGCATGAATCGCGAGGGAAGTCTCGAGAAACAGCGCGAGAGCGTACCTCCTGAGTGTCGTGGGCGCGGCGTCTCAATAACTTGCAAAAGGACGTCCCACGAGTGAGCGCAATTCCTGTATATAAACTGCGAGGCAATCACATGCGAGAGCGCGATTCCTGTACAAATTGTAAGGAAGTATCCGGCGGGAGCCGTCGTTATAGTAAACCAGGGGCCAAGGTCACAGTTTGGCGCGCAAGATTTTCCTTAGGTCGGGCATGTCCCCCGACAGGCGGTTTTTGGGGGGCGAAAAATCACCAAAAAAATGCTATGTTTGAACATTCCGCCTGTAGAGGGACAAGCCCGACCACACTCCAGGCCTCCCAGGATGGGGTCCAAGCCCCGGCAGGGCACTTCAAACGGGCGGGTCGGGCGAGCGGGCCCAGACGGTCGGGTCGAGCGGTCGGGTCGCTGAAGCATCCGTCCTGCACGGATCGCGGGGAAGTCTCGAGCGACAGCGCGATTCCCTGGTAAATGGTGAGGAAGTCCAAAGCGAGATCGTGACTCCTGACTGTCGAGGGCGCAGCGCCTGAAGAGTTGCGAGGAAGTCCCACGCGAGGGCGCGATTCCTGTACAAATTAAGGATGTCCCGCGCGAGGGCGCGATTATGAATAAATTTTATGGGTAAGTCTCAGGCGGGAGCCGTTATTGTGGTAAAACGTGAGCCAGGGCAAAGTCTGAGGCTGAGGACTTCCCCTTGTAAAGAACAGTGTGCGAGCCCTGAGGGGGCCACTTGAATTGAAAAAGCACAGGGCGAACTGGGTGGGGGTCAACAATATATCATTTTGTAAGAATGAAACTAAGCAACAATATACCCCTGCGCGCAAGGGAAAATATTGCCATGAGTACACTCTGGAAGCGTGCAAACTGGGTTCATGCAAAGCCCCAGCAATGCACAGCGACGTACCAGCGACACGTGCCGCTTTCGCGGGCAGACAATTCAGTCTCTGGGTAGTGGCATAATCTGGATGGTCATTTAAAAACACGGTATACACTGGGCACGGATTCGGCAATGTCTCACCGTGGCCCATATACCTACTCATGGGCGTGACCCGTGCAGGGTCCAAAAAACAGACACGCAGAGAGCGGGAAGGAAGTGAATGCTCGCTGCTTTTCCAAACAAGCTGAAGCGCGAAAAGTTGATAAAACAAGACTTGAACAATGCTCAGCTAAGTTTACACGAGTGCGTTTATTGCGGATTCGTGGTCTCGCAGCAGCGCGCTCAGCGACAGCTCATAGCAGGTCCTGCTCATCAGTGGGGGGATAATGGGCAGGCCGGGTCATCAAGATGGCCTGGCACGCCTGTCCATCACTGGCTGGCTGTTGGAGCCCCGTCCACACGTGCTCGGCGAAATGGTGACAGTTCCAGAACAGCAGGCCGTAGGAGTGATGCTCGATCTCCCTCAGCACTGCTACCAGCAAAGACCAGCCACCGCACTAGCAGCGGTCAGTGTGTGTGTACGTTAGGCCCTTGCTGGCTTCATTCTCTTCTTCCAAGGCAACAGTTAGAGCCCCATACGCATAGAGCTCGACATGCTTTCATGTGTTGAACCAGGTCCCTGCGTCTTTTGCCTCGGAGACCTCGGGATGCCTCTGGGAAACTCGGGAGACCTCCGGGGAGCTCGGGAGATCTCCGAGAGAGGAGTGAGAGGAAGGAGGACGAGGAGGAGGAGGAGGAGGAGGAGGAGGAGGAAGAAGACTCTGCGGGGGATATCGCTTCCACCACGGCTCCAGTGCCAGAAGCGTTGCAACTTCCTCTGCAATGTGGGGGTAAGTACTAATTGCTTCCTAGGCTTCACTGAAAAAAGGGTGTCAAAATCAGCTGCTCGGGCAGGTGGTTTGTACCCCCCCCAGGCGGCCCACCGGCCTCACCGTACAGAATGGCATGTATCAACTGGGTTTCTTGAGCTCACCCAGAAAGCGTTCTGCACATGCGGTTCTACACGCCCGCCCCTGGCCCTCTCCCCCCTGGGCGCCCGCCCGAGCGCGGCGGCGGGCTCGCGCGGCAGCGCAACTGGCTACAGGCACATCGAGCTCGACCTCTCCCCTGAAAAGCTCGTCCCTGATGGCGGGCTCCTCCTTCGGGGGAACAGATCATGGCAGAAGCAAACACTTTCGGAGGCCCGCGCGGATCTTTCCGATCGGCTCTAGATATCCTCTGGAGCCCCCGCGCCGCCCCATGGAGCGCTCCGCGCGCCAGGGAGGGGGGCCCAGCGCCGATCCAAGAAATCAGCTCGGACCTCCGAAAAGTGTTACCCATCGGTCGGAAGAAGCAGGTAGAAACATGAAGCAACAAGACGATGAAAGCAGATTGGATTCCGTCCGCCCCCTGAGGAGGACGGAAAAGGTGAAGCCACTCGATCATTGAAGGAGGAAGGCGCGTAAAGTAGATTGGAATCTGGAAATCCAAAAATACCTACTTTTAGGTCAGGCATGTCCCCCTACAGGCGGACTTGGACGAAATATACAAAAATATGTATACAAAAAAATGTTCCAAATTTCTCACAACAAAAATCGTCCCCAGACTATTTGTCGCTATTTCTGAATACTCCTCCTCTAGAGGGACACGCCCGACTTAAAGGTCAAGGTCAAGCCTGTATGCCCGCGAAGGGGCGGCCGCTCAGGGCACAGGCGGGTGAAAGCTAGCAGACGCTCATGTGGTGAAGAAAATCTCCTGTCATACAATTCAGGTCGGCCTCTCTCCGGAGGGTCTCACTCCGGAGGGCCCGGTCAGAGCCTTCCTGGGGCGTCTTGAGAAGGGGCTCCTTGGGCCGTCGTGGGGCAGTGTTAGGCCGTCGGATAACATTTCCGCCGAGGGCGAGGGGCAATGCCGAAGGCGAGGGCCTCATTCTGGCTGGGCCTCATGTGGTGAAGAAAATCTCATGTGGTGAATGTGGGTCTTTGGCTGCTACTCTCAACGACCGATGGGCATTTTTGTTCCCCGGCTCCTGTGTCCGCCGGCAGAGGAGGCCCTCGCGGAACCAGTCCTGGAGGGCGGCCGCCGAAACCGGGGCTGGTGAGAATCCGCGCTGGAGTCAGGTCGGGCGTGTCCCCCTACAGGCGGATGTTGGACGAAAAATTAAAGATAATCAAAAATGAACCCCAAAAAATGCTCGAACATACTCCGAAAGTAGTTCCCCGACTATTTTCGGGCAACTTTTGAATATTCCCCCTGTAGAGGGACAGGCCCGACTTAACGCTAGAGGCCCAAGCCCCATGTGGCCACAAACTCGCAGAGGGGTTCTCAGAGGGTATCGAGAGCTGCTCAGAAGACGCTGGCAGCAAAAGTTGAGATACTGTTCGATGTGCCTTTTCTCCAGGTCGTCCTTGGCGCCGCAGGGGTGCTCCCAGAGGGTACCACGAGCTTCCCAGAGCCTTCCTAAATCCTGGCCGTCCAGAAAACATGTTGGTATACTTATGCACACATATACATGTGCATATATAAGAATACATGTGTGTATGTATACATATATATATATACAAGACTGCATTGGCGCTTCGCGCCATGCACCTTGGCCCATAAAGTTCGGCATGCAGGCGGGATGGCAGGAAAGTCAAACCGGCAATTTAGCGACAACTGCTTGTTGCCTTTTCCGGCATCGTCGTTATCATAATGTTATTCGCTACCATTCCTCAATGCTTCTGTTTCTTCATTCTCGCCATACCCTGCGCATTCTCCCCATCCTCCTCGGTTCTTTTTTGCGGAGGCTCCTCCTTGGAGAGCCTCTGGGGGCCTCACAAAATTTCTCATGCTTTCTCAAGGCCTTTTGGAGGCCTCCTGGGCGTGTTCTGGGGTCCTCTGGGGGCTTCCTCGGGCCACCCTGCCTCCAACCGCGGTCTCCCTGAATGACTGGGTCACGATTTGGAATGCTTCAGAGCGTGTCTTCGGGCCATCTTGGGCCGCCATGGGGCACTCCTAGGGCTATCTTGGACCCCTGTTGTGCCGTTTTGGGGCTGTCTTGGAAGCCCTTTCGGATAGTTGTGGGGCGATTTTGCAGCCTCCCAGGCGGCTTCGGACGCCCAGAAGACCGCCGTCTTGGAGCGTCAGGAAGCCGAAAAGAGGATAACCCCAAAATTCACCCAAAAAAAATGGAAAATCATAGATTTTTGCCTCTTGGGTCCTTCTTGGGAATGCTCTTGGAGGCCTCTTGGGACGTTTCGGAGCCATCTTTGGGGGTATGACGGCTTCGTGGGCGTCGTCGTGGACCTTATTAGGGCTCTCTGGGGTCGTTTCGGGAGCGCGCCGGAACGCCTGGAACCCGTCTGGGGCCGCCTTTGGGTGCTGGGAAGGCTTGGCGAAACGCCCTGCGAGGCCCAGGGGGCCGCTTCGAGGCCCGTCCGGAGGGTCCCAAAGCCCCAGATCCCGGGAGTCTGGTTTTAGGGGGGGGGGACGGGTTTTCCCCCCGCCCGGGCTTATAAAAATATAGGAAGAGGAATATACGTGTATGTATTCCCCTGTATATATATATATATATACATATATACATATATATATATATATATATACATAGATGTGTGTATACATACAGGTATATACCGATATATATATATATATATGTATGCATAGATACGTGCAAACATGAAGTAGGAAGGCGGTGAAAATAGTGGGTTCTGGCTGGTTCCCGAAGAAGGAAGCTAAAAGAAGGCAGTTTCGATGGTTCAAGGTGCTCAAAAGAAGACTGGGTCCGAGTAATCCAAAAAGAACTTGCTTCCAACGAACGGCCCGTGCATGTGTTGTTGCCCTCAGGCGCCCCCCCCTTGTCACCACAGCTGGGAGCACGGCGGCTTGGAAGCGTCAGGATGGTGCCCCATAGTGGTCTGGTGACTGAGATTGAATGCATTCTAACCCCTGGCACCGATTGCTCGTAGCATTCCTCTTCTGCCACCTTTGCAACTTGGGATGGCCGGCGTTGAAGAAAAACACAAAAACTTTCGGAGATTCGCAGGAGTTTCTTAGATCTGCACTGGGAGCCCGTCCCTTGCGGGCGGAGCGCGACAAAGGTGGCGCCGGAGGCGCCGCCGGGGGGGCCAGCACAGATCCAAGAAGTCCGTGCGATCCTTGGAAGAATGTGGTTTACGGCGTTTCTTCGACGAGAAGGGGGTTTATGCAAAGGGGGAATACCGACTCAGCTACATGTAGCTGGCATTTGGGCACCATGAGTGACCGCGTTTTGAGCGGAGTGCCCGGCGATGGTGGCCCAAGCCGGCTGCATGTGACAGTTCTCGTAAAAACTCTCTCTTTTCAGGCACACGCTGTGTGGAACCGCCCGAGGAGCAAGAGGCGGTCTAGAACAGACCTTTTGCCGCAGACTCGGCGACCCCACAAGTCGCAAAGCTGGATCAGGGAAAAGCGATTTGGCAACAATGTGGGAGGCAGGAAGAGGGCGGCCGCGCGGAGAGAAAGGAATCAGGGGCGGCACTCAGGACAGGATGAACTGGCCTGGGTGCTGGTGCTGCGGCCCAGGGGGTCTAGAACACATGGAAAGCGCCAGAGGGCTGCGACGCGCGACCTTGACGAGTCTTGACGCGCGGTGCCAGGTTTCATCGCTCGAGTCCAGCTGCAGCCACCGGGAGCGCTTCTGCCGCGGGCCTGGCCGGACGTGCACCAGCAGGCCAACGTGGGCGAAGGCGCTCATGCCGCCCTGCACGCGCTTCGGGATCTCGACCTTCCGGCCCGCGAGGACCTCGCGTGTTCCCCATCCAGTCGGTCCTCCCCCTGCATGAGAGGCCTCCTGGATGGAATCGGAGTAGATGGGGTCGGAGGATCGCGCCGCATCGCCGATACATCGCCGATGCATCGGCGATGCATTGGCAATGCATCGGCGGTGCACCGGCGATGCATCGTCGACGTCGGCGATGCATCGGCGACGTCGACGTGAAGCAAATCGGGCTCCACATCGAGCCGCATCGGCGATGCATCGGCGATGCGGCGCGATCCTCCGACCCCATCTGCTCCGACCCCATCTAGGAGGCCTAGATGCATCCCCTCGACGTTTGCACTCCTCTTGCCCCGCTCTCCCGGCCGTTCTGCCCGTCCTCCGACCAGCCACGCCTTGTCGAAGGCAGGACTGGAAGGGGTCGCGCCCAGATTGGGTTAGGTGCCAGGATTTGCCTGCACACGCTTAGGTCGGGCATGTCCTCCTACAGGAGGAGTTTGAATGAAAAATAAAGAATCATGAAAAAAGAATCCCAAAATAATCAAAAATAGTAGGAAATCATCCCCCGACTATATTTTTTGAAAATTCTTCCTGTAGAGGGACACGCGAGACTTAAGCATACGCTCTCGCAAGGTTCTCACTTACCGAGCGCAACTCAGGGCGAGCGGAAGCAGGCGAGGATGGATCGCAGCGCGCAAGCCATCACACTGGTGGACCTCTGTCCTAACCTTGTGGTCGGCCTGGGCGCGTCTGATCCACCCAGCTCCGTGGCGATCGGTTCTATAGCTGTCGTCGTTTTCTGGCTCCCAAGTCGTCGTGAATTATGCCTGGAGTTTGGGTGGCATCAACACGGAAACTGTGGCGTATTCCCGACTGCGCAGCCAACCTTTCCTGATCCTTCAGTGTCGCCCGCCATCACTGGCAACATCGTCCCTTCCAAATGGTGCCCCTCGCAGAGGTAGTGCCAGACGCACCCGCATCGCGCAACCATGCCCCTTTCAGCAGGAGCTGTCCTTCCTCGCTCATACCCCATACCCCTTCCTTGCCCTGCCTACCCTCGCCGACAGATCAGAAAAGGCTAGGTCGCTGAGACTTCCCCGGACGCGCCCCCGTGGATGGGAACGCATATCGGAGCGAGCGGTCGGAGGGACATTGGAAGGGGCAGGGGGAGAGAGGGAGAGAGAGAGAGGGGAGGGGGAGGGGAAGAGGGGAGCCGGAGTGGGAGGGGAGGGAGGGCGGACGGGAGAGGGAGGGGGGAAGCTAGGTAGGCAAGCGTTTTGTCTGACGTCCTACCCCTCCCTCCCAACCCTTACTATGGCGCAGATATCCTCTCTATTCGCACAGTCGGATGTCGAGCAGGGCAATGATCCCGAGAGGGTACGAGATGCATGATAGCGCACGGCGTAGCACGGCGTAGAAGAGCACGGCAAAGCGTAACATGTCCCGGAACAAACCAGACATGACGCAAAACGAAGAATAAAAATAAACGGTTCGGAAAGAGAAGAAGCGCAACATAAATGAAAGCCAAGGCTTCAGCGGGAACACGATTTGGAAGATCCACAATAAAGAAATGAGGTCCGCGCTGCAGCGGGAGCAACATTTGGAAGGACCGAAAGCCAGAAAATGGAGCCAACACTGTAGCGGGAGCGCAATTCGGGAAACACCGACAACGTTCGGATTGGAAAAACACACATGGTCGGTAACCTTTGAAGGATCACGTTTGTTGTTATGGGATGTCTATATACGTATATATACACACGTGTAAACCAATGATGATGCGAAAACGAATGACGATACCAGTGCTATAAACATGAATAAAACATATATATAATAATAATAAATAATAATAATAATAATAATAATAAAACAAAAAAAAAAAAAAAAAAAAAAAAAAAAAAAAAAAAAAAAAAAAAAAAAAAAAAAAAAAAAAACGGAGGGGGGCAGGCTACGACCTCGAAGTCTTCTGGGAGGAAAGGAGAATCGTATTCAGATTTTGTGATTGAGGGGGCGCAGAGGAATGGGGATAAGGGCGAGGAGGGAGAAGGGAAGGAGCAGACGAAAGACAGGGGAAGTGCGAGGGGGAGGGGGGAGGGAGAGGGGGAGGAGGAGGAGGAGGAGGAGGAGGAGGAGGAGGAGGAGGAGGAGGAGGAGGAGGAGGACGAGGAGGGGGAGGGGGCGGGGGGGGAGGGGGAGGAGGAGGAGGAAAATGGAAAAGGGGGAGGGGGACAGGACAAGATAGGTGCGCTCGCGTCATATCTGACGTCCTACCCCTCCCTCCCATCCCTTATCATGGCGTAGATCTCGCACAGTCGGATGTCGAGCAGAGCAATGTCGGCGAGAGGGTACGCGACGCATGGTAAAGCACGGCATGCTATGGCGTAGAAAAGCACAGCAGAGCGTAGCATGCCATATCATGGCGTGGTATTGCGCAGTGAAGCATTGCATCGCCAAGCATTGCAACGCAAAGCATGGCAGCGTGGACAGAACACAACACCGCACAGCATGTCATGGCATGGCTCCAGGCTCTTTGGAGGGTAAGTGGATCCTCTTCGGGAGGTCTGGGCCAGTCTGGAGTCGTGGCTCCATGTCTAGCTCCTTGGGTCCCCGAAAAGCTCCAAACAAGACGGGGCTGATGGAGAGCACCCGCTGGCTCTACCTCCATCATCGTCGTTTCAAAACAGAAACGGGGCTCCCGCTTGATACTTCCTGAAAACGAGGACGCTCCAAAGTGGCAGGGGGCTTCTGCGGCTCATCAACAAATCGACACCGAATGTGTAATCACTTCCGATGTCTTTTTTCGGGGGGGCATTTTTTAGATTTTGTGGCCTATTTGGAAGGAAGGCCAGCGCTGCAGTGGGAGCACGATTCGGAACGAGTGGATGCGCGGAGATGAGGCCAGCGCTGCAGCCGGAGCACGATTCTGAACGAGCGGAAGCCCGAAAATGAGGCCAATGCTTCAGCGGGAGCAACATGTTGAAAAAAACAGCGAAAACCCGTTTCCCGGGAATCCGGTGCAAAAAAGCAATACGCGGAGGGGGGCCGGATATCTTCCGGACGTCATCAGGGGAGAGAGGAGAGTAGTATTCATATTGTATAACTGTAGACGGAAAGGGTGGAAGTCTGCGATAGGGAAAGGAAAAGGGTGAAGAACAGACACTCTCTGGATCCCTTCGGGCGTTCCTCAGTACCGCCGATGGTGAACTGTAAATGTGGCTGTTCCGAAACAGAACGCATCGAATGGCGAGGACATGGACATGACACAAACAGTAACTCTGATGATTACATTTCCACAGTGACAGACACAGTGGGCACAGAACGTCGAATCATAACGACACACAAGTTATCCACAGAAGCCTTCCATACTCAGCTTGCGCGCCACAAAACTACGTCATTCTGGCACTAATCCATTATCCGCAGCAACACCAGAGGCCCGTCTGCCAGACTCTCGACGGGTGATACCTCCGCCACCGCCAGAGAGGACCTTCCTAACCTCCCAACTAGTGGGAAGGGGGCTCCAAAGCGCTCGATCGACTCCACCTTCTTAGGCGGGAGGGCGCACGCATGGCAGATCAGCGCCACAGGAGGAGGAGGAGGAGGAGGACGGCGACGACGACGAGGGCAAGAAGGGGGGGGGCAACCAGCAGCCGCTTATGAGCGCAGGGGCCCCAACACTGCGTTGAAGAGTTGCGTAGTGGACACAGGGCGCGCCATGGGCCTCCAAAACAGAAACTTTCAGAGGTCCGCGCGGATCTTTTTGATCTGCGCTGGAGCCCCCTGGCGGCGCCTCCGGCGCCGCCCCTGGCGCGCGGAGCGCGCCATGGAGTGGGGTCCAGCGACGATACAAAAAATCCGCGCGGACCTCCGAAAGGGCAGGAGGCAAGGGGCGGAGGAGGACGAGGCAAGCACGCGGCAAAGCATCGGCGCAACAGTCAGCTCGGAGCGGACAGGAGAACGACCACAGGGAGCGGACGGGCGGATGTCGGTCGTCGGCGCCAGCCGTGCAGCCGAAGGTGATGGTCATCGACGTCATCATCATGACCATCATCATCGCCAGCATCATCATCATCATCCTCATCCTCATCATCATCATCATCATCATCATCATCATCATCATCATCATCATCATCATCATCATCATCATCATCATAATCATCATCAGCAGCAGCATCAATATCATCATCATCATCATCATCATCATCATCATCATCATCATCATCATCATCATCATCATCATCATCATCATCATCATCATCATCATCATCATCATCGCCAGCATCATCATCATCAGCAGCAGCATCATGAACATCATGATCATCTCCATCACCACCACAATCATCATCACCGTCAGAATCATCATCATCATCATCATCATCATCATCATCATCATCATCATCATCATCTTAATAGTCCTCTTCATCATCATCATCATCAGCAGCAGCATCATCATTGTCATTGTCATTGTCATTGTCATTGGCATTGTCATTGTCATTGTCATTGTCATTGCCACCATCATCGAAGTGATGATCATCGTCGTCGGTGTCATCATTATCATCATCATCATCATCATCATCGACATGATGATCACCGTCATCAATGTCATCATCATCATCATCATCATCATCATCATCATCGACATAGTCATCATCATCATCAGGAGCAGCATCATCATCATCATCGTCATCATCATCATCATCATCATTATCATCATGAACAGCATCATCATCATCCTCATCATCCCCATCATCATCATAATAATCAGCAGCATCCTCATCATCATCATCACCATCATCATCGTCATCATCATCATCATCATCAACATCATCATCGTCATCATCATCGTCATCGTCATCATCATCATCATCATCCGAAGCCGTTTTGGCTCTAGCCTTCGGGCTAGCTTCCATCGGCGGCTGGCGCGATTTGTGATGGCGCGGGAGGCGGCCCCCTCGAGGGAGGCGGCCGCTGGCGGCGATGTGTGCAGCCCGAGCGCGGCACGGTGGCAGAGGCGCCGAGCTGGCCAGGCGTGGGCCCGCTTGTCGGGGGACGTGCTCATCGACTCAGCGGGCCGTGCGCCTCTGGCGGAGCCGCTACGAGAAGTTGGTGGAGTCGCTGGGGGACCCCGACACGGCGGAGCGCCTGGCGGTGGTGGCGGTGCACTTGAAGGACATGGTGCACGGCAAGGCCTTCGAGTCGCCCGTCGACACGCTGCGGAGGAACGTTGCGCTCCGCGCGGCGTTGACGCCCTGGCCGCTGGGGACGGCGACGGCGCGCTCGCTACGCCGAGCCCCGAAGGGGCCCTGGCTTGTGGCGCGCCCCGCGCTGTCGACGGTTGGCCTCGCCGCAGGCGGGGTGAATGACGCGATGCACGACGGCAATAACGGGACGGAGCTGGACGACCACGGCGAGGCGGGGAAGAGTTGCGCGACCAACCCCCTGCTAGCGGTGCCGCCTTTCCACTCGCTCGATAAGGAGCTCAGCGATCATGGCACGATTGCGTCGCACGTGCTCGCGGAGAAGCAGGGCGCGGCTGGCATTCAGTTGCAGTTGCGAGAAGGAGCTGGTGGTGAAGCGCAGCCCACACGTGATCAGCTACAGCTCGGAAATCAGCGCGGCACCAGCAGAAATTCGATCTAGGGCCCGTGGCTCGGGACACTCCTGTTCCCTACTTGCACAAGGGGGAGCTGACGGCGGCGGCGGCGGCGGCTGCGGAGGCGGACGGCGACTCCGACACGCCACCCCCCTGCAAACTTGCGTGGTCGACCTCTGGGAGCGCCTGGAGGATGCCATGGAGGGCATCGAGACCACCATGAAATGGGATGGCGCCCGCGCGGCCAAGCGCGGCATGGTCATGTACCGCATCTCGCAGCTGGAGGCCCTGTACGTGGAGGCCCAGCGGGCGTTGGCCGACGCCGACGACGACGCAGACGAGCAGGAGGCCGAGCAGGAGCGTTTCGAGATTGGGAAGGCGCTCGCATCGGCTTGGTCTCACATTGACACGCTTGAGTGAAGGCCAGGGGGCCTACGGGTCACCTATCGGGCGGCTGTGCGGGCGCGAGCGCACGCCATCCATATCACTTGCCTTAGCACTGAGAGAAATGCATAGAGGTGCCCTGTCCTCGCCGGCGCAGCGTGCCCGCGGTCGCGTGGGAGGGGCATCGGTCTGTGCAGCCTGCGGCGGTGAGCGTTCGCGGCATTGTGACGGATCACCTTTGGAGAGCGCGATCATCATCGTCGTCATCATCATCATCGTCATCATCGTCATCATCATCATCATCCTCATCATCATCGTCCTCATCATCATCATCATCATCATCATCATCATCATCATCATCATCATCATCATCATCATCATCATCATCATCATCAGCATCATCATCATCCTCATCCTCATCATCATCATCATCCTCATCCTCATCATCATCATCATCATCATCATCATCATCATCATCATCATCGGCGTCATCATCATCAGCAGCAGCAGCACCCTCATCACCATCATCATCATCATCATCATCATCATCGTCATCATCATTATCACCATCATCAATCATCATCGTTATTTACCATAATCGATCGTCATCGTCATCGTCATCATTATCATCATCGTCATCATTATCATCATCGTCATCATCATCATCATGACCATCGTCATCACTAGCATCATCATCATCATCAGCATCATCACCATCATCGACATGATGATCATCGTCGTCATCATCATCGTCATCATTGTCATCATCACCAGGGTCATCATCATCAGCATCATCTTTGTCGTCATTGTCAGAATCATCGTCGCCATTTTCGTCATCAAAAGCATCGTCGTCATTGTCGTCATTGACATGATGACCACCATCATCGTCATCATCATCATCATCATCAGCTCCATCATGATATCATCCTCATCATCATCATCATCATCATCATCATCATCATCATCATCATAATCGTCATCATCGATCATGTTCGTCGTCGTCATCGTCGTCATCATCGTCGTCATCATCATCAGCAGAATCAACATCAGAAGCATCATCATCATCACGATCATCGTGGTCATTGCCATCATCATCGTCATCATCAGCATCGCTTTCATAATCATCATCACCATAATCGTCGATCATGTTCGTCATCTTCATCAGCACCATCCTCATCATCATCATCATCATCATCATCATCATCATCATCATCATCATCACAATCATCATCATCATCATCAGCAGCAGCATCATCTTCACGATGATCGTCGCAATTGTCATCATCATCATCAGAAGCAGCATCATCATCACCATCGACGTCACTGTCTGCATCATTATTATCATCAACAGCAGCAGCATCATCGTCATCGACGTCATTGTCTTCATCATGATTATCATCATCATCAGCAGCAGTATCATCAAAGGCGTCGTCATTGTCATCATCATCACCATCATCATCATGATCATCATCAATCATCGCCGGTATCGTTAACATCATCATCAGCATCATCATCGGCGTCATCATCATCATCATCATCATCAGCGGCATCATCATCATCATCATCATCATCATCATCGGCAGCATAATCGTCATCATCATCACCATCACCATCACCATCATCATCGAACCATCGTCGTCGTCATCATCAGCATCAGAATCAGCAGCATCATCATCATCATCAGCGTCATCATCAGCGTCATCATCATCATCGGCATCAGCATCATCATCACCGTCGAGGTCACTGTCTTCATCATTATCATCATCAGCGTCAGCATCATCATCAGCATCAACGACGTCATTGTCTTCATCATGATCATCATCATCATCATCAGCAGCATCATCAGCATCAGCATCAGCATCACAATTGTCATCGTCATTGTCATCACCATCGATCACCGATCATCGATCATCTTCGGCATCGTTACCATCATCATCATCAGCATCATCATCATCAGCGTCATCATCATCATCAGCATCGTCATGATCATCGGCGCCATAGTCGTCATCGTCATCGTCATCAGCATCATCACCATCAGCATCATCTTCATCGGCACCATCGCCGTCATAATCATAAATCAGCAGCATCATCATCATCAGCGTCATCGTCATCGTCATCATTATCATCATCATCATCATCATCATCATCATCATCGTCATCATCAGCATGATCATCATCAGCATCGTCATCAGCATCATCAGCATCATCATCATCATCATCATCTGCTCCTTCCTCGCTCCCCCCTCATCCAGCGGTTCCGGCCCTCCTCCTCCTGGGCAGCGGGCGGATCCTGGCCGGCTGGGAGAGAGGCCACGTGCTCGGGCTTCTGCCAGAAGCGGACCAGGCGGCCGATGGTGCACTCGGAGCCTCGGGCAGCTTCGAGGCTCTAGCTTCGGGAAAGTGTTTTGGCCTTGTCAGGCCCCTGGGGGCCGTTTTCGAGCCCCGGGGCCGTCTAGAACGGATCCAGGGTTAAGTCGGGCCTGTCCCTCAAGAGGAGGAATATTCAAAAATAGTTCCAAAAAATTGAATGTGAACAATTTTTTGAACATGTTTGGGGCATTGTGGGGGTATGTTTTGAGTATTCTTATTTTTTCGTCCAAAATCCCCATGTAGGAGGACATGCCTGACCTAAATCCAGGACAAAACACTGCACCAGATGGACCCCGGGAGGGGCCCAGGGCACGACCTTGAATGGATCTGGCTTCCGCTCCCCTCTCTTTCGACAGAGCACAGACCTGTCTCGGACAAGCGTCCTGCCCTCCTCTTCCTCCTCATACTCCTCCTCCTCCCCCTCCTCCTCCTCCTCCTCCTCCTTGGGAGAGGTCCAGGGAACGACCTTGAATGGATCTGGCTTCAGCCCCCCTCTCTCTCGACAGGGCACAGACCTCGGTCTCGGACAAGCGTCCTACCACACCCTCCTCCCCCCTCCTCTTGCTCCTCGACTCCCGTCCTACTGTCTCTTTCCCTCCTCCCCCATCGGGGGCGCGCAAACATGGATTAGCGATCCATGGACTTGGCGCGCGGTCGCCAAATCCATGGATCGGGGGAGGTGCCCTCCCCAAAATGCGGCCGGTGCCGCCTCGCTCGGCGGCGGAAATCTGTAATTTCCCATGGAAACGGGACCCGTCGCTGATCCACGCCCCCTTGATCCATGTTGGCGATCGCCTGACCACCACACCCTCATCCCCCCTCCTCTTGCTCCTCAACTCCCGTCCTGCTGTCTCCTTCCCTCCTCCCCCATCGGCTCCTCCCTCCTCCCCCTCCCCCTCCTCCTCTTCCTCCCCCTCCTCCCTGCAAGAAACATGCGCGAGAGGAGCCCGTCTGGCGCTGCTCGATCAGATGCGCCGCGGACCGCGGCTGGCAAACTGGTCTCGTGGCTTTTCGTGTCGGATGTGCAAAAATCTTCACTTGGGGGCGCTGCCGACGTCCGTGCTGGTCCACTGCCAGCGTCATCCCCTGGCCCTGCTGCCTCAACCATCGAGCCTCACAGACCTCCTGCGAGCCCTGTTGACCGAGGAGCCACCAACAGGGAGATTCAGGGAGTTTCCCGGAGCTTTCTGGGGAAGCATTGGCATCTTCACTGAGCCTTCACCTTTAGAAATTGCAAAAAGCAGAAGTGGTGAGGCCCCGAAGGCTGACGCCACGCAAGGTCTCCTCAGCGGATTCACCAGAAATGCTGGAGATGGACTCGGCCGTGGAGGACAACAAAAAGTGACCAAGTGGCCAAGTAGCGACAGCTTCACACACGCCTTGAGAATACCTTAGTCCCACCCCAGCACCACTCCCAGCACCACCACTCCCTCTGGCGGGCACCCTCCGAGCGGGGCGGCGAGACATGCGTAGCAGCGCCACTGCGAAAGCACTCCCAAAACAAAACCGGACTTCTGCGATACGGGAACCATACATGCGATCACCAGCAACCTGGCCGACTGAACGTCACCACGAAAGAAAATCTCGACCGCGCACCGCGTCCTCCAAGCCCGGGTAGCGCCGTCCGGCGCGCGCCGCCCAGCACGCTCGCCTGTCAGTCGAAACCACTGCTGGCACGAGCCGCCCAGCACTCGCCCAGCATCCAGGAGGAGGAGAAGGCGCAGGAGGAGGAGGAGGAGGAGGAGGAGGAAGAGGAGGAGGAGGAGGAGGAAGAGGAGGAGGAGGAGGAAGAGGAGGAGGAGGAGAAGCAGCAGCAGACCAGATCAGCATCTGGACGCCCTACTGCTCACCGGGGATGGACCGATCGCAGCCGCCCTGGGGCGATCGGGGCGCGGCACATCGAGGCGGGGCCGGGCTCGGCGCCCGTGGCCTCCAGCATCTGGATGGCGCTCTCGTAGCCCACCGACTCCCGCTGGGAGAAGTGGCAGGGCGTGAGAATCTCCGTGCCGCCCTCACTTGAACGAAGGATTGCAAAGGATTGCAAAAAAACGAAGGATTGCAATCCTTCGGTTTTTTTGCAATCCTTCGTTCAAGGAATGCTGAGGTGGACGGCCCTGCGCGCGGCGAGGCGGCGGCGCCGGGGTGCCGAAGTCTGTCGAGAGGTGGAATATATATATATATATATATATATATATATATATCCTGACCGACTCGATCAGTGCCCCATGGAAGGTGCGCCCGCGCCACGTATGACGTCCGAAACCTCTCCCCAAACCCTTCCCATTGCGTTGAATCCTCTTCTGCCCACCGAAAGAGGTGTTCAACGAGCGCTTAATCCCCGAATGGCGCTTGCAGGATTTGACCCTTCCTTTGCTGCGTAATCGGCATGGGGGCTTTTGAGCGTCACGAAGGCGGGAGGAGGAGTAGGAGGAGGAGGAGGAGGAGGAGGAGGAGGAGGATTAGGAAGAGTATGAGTAGCAGGAGGAGCGCGAGGAGCGGGGTGTCGGGAGGGACAGGGGGAGAACGATAACGACGAGGAGGGAATCGGATCCAGAAGTGTGGCCCCCGTAGAGGCGAGAACGCCGTTCTGAACGACAAGAGCAAAGCACCGATCCTGGGAGATGGCCCCAGCTTCAGAAAGAGCAGCATTTTGACGGACTGGAGAAGTTCCGATCGATGGAAAACAGGTACAACCTAATGCAAACATTTGAAACCCTGTATGAAACAACAGTGGGCGGGCAAACGGTGGAGCGCTGCTAGGAGAAAGAGAGAGAGAGAGAGAGCGTGAGAGAGACAGACAGACAGATACAGAGACAAAGAGAACAGTGTAGTAGTCATACCAAGTAACTGGAGGGAGAGGGGGAGGAGAGGGGGGCGGGGGGCGGGAGGAGGAGGAGGAAGAGATGACGCGAGGGCCCACAGACACGGAGCCATCATCAGGGGTGGGGCGCGCTGGGCCAGTGCGCAGGCCGCCTCGGAACGAGGCGCTGGGCAGCCCGCGGAAGCGGGCCTCTAGCCAAGTTCCCTGCGGTTCGAGGCGCGCGGGCCGCAGCGGGCGGCGGCGTGCGCTTGGAGAGCAGCCCATGGGGGTGGCAGCCCAGAAGAGCGGATGCGTCGGGGGCACGCTTCGCCCGGAACTCGAGGGGTGGCCCCAGAGGCCCCTGCGAGACAGCTGTATAGCTGCAGGGCCTCCTCCTCCTCCTCCTCCTCCTCCTCCTCCTCCTCCTCCTCCTCCGCCTCCGCCTCCGCCTCCGCCTCCTCCTCCTCCTCCTCCTCTTCCTCCTCCTCCTCCTCCTCATCGTCCTCCTCCTCCTCCTCCTCCTCTTCCTCCTCCTGTTAATCCTCCTCCTCCTCCTCCTCCTCCTCCTCCTCCTCCTCCTCCTCCTCATCCTCTTCCCCCTCTTCTTTTTCTTCTGAGTATCAGTATTATGATACCGGAAAAACCCAAACCAAAATTTGTTGCGGGCTATGGGCTATAGGGCTATTGGGCTATAGGGCTATAGGGCTATAGGGCTGTAGGGCTATAGGGCTACAGGGCTATAGGGCTATCGGGCTATAGGTCTGTAGGGCCATAGGGCTATAGGGCTATCAGACAATAAGGCTATAGGGCTCTAGGGCTCTAGGGCTGTACGGCTATAGGGCTACAGGGCTACAGGGCTATAGGGCTATACGGCAATAAGGCTATAGGGCTATAGGGCTATAGGGCTATAGGGCTATAGGGCTATAGGGCTATAGGGCTATAAGGCTACAGGGCTACTGGGCACCCGGGCACCTGGGCACCCGGGCACCCGGGCGTGCCGCCGAAATCGGCGCGAAACCTCACCTAACCATGAATCCGCTAGGATCCCTACACAGGCAGGCTCTGATTGGTGCAATCCCACCAGCCCTCTGGGCGTCGGTGGTTTAAGGAGTTTCCTCTTCCACCCCTCCTTCTTCCCCTTCGGGGAGGGGTTTACCCCTCCCCCTACCCCCTCCCCACTGACCTGGACAGGGGGTTCCGCGGTGCGTTGGAGCGCCCAAAACGGCCTCGGCGAGGAAGCCAAAATCATTGATTTTACTATGGTTTCGGCCCCATTTTGGCCTTCTGAGGGGGGGGCTGAAATTTAGGAACCCCCTTCTTTGATCGATTTCCTCAACGATGGCCGCATGAGGCCCCCAGGATGCCCCAAGAGGCCGCAGGATGGCCCCAAGATGGCCCCAAGAGGCCCCCCAAGAGGCCCCCAGGAGGCCCCCAAGAGACCCCCAAGAGGCCCCAAGAGACCCCCCAGAGGCACCCAAGGTGCTCCCAGAGGCCCCAAGATGGCCCCAAGAGGCCCCAAGAGGCCCCCAGGAGGCCCCAAAGAGGATTCCGAACGGCCCACAGAGGCCCCCCCGAGGCACCCAAGACGCCGAAAAGCCCCTCAGGACGACCCTCTACTCGCCTGGGCGTCGTTTCTGGACGGGCTGGTGGGGATACTCGAAGCGTTTAGAATATTACTATTAAATATTAGTACTAGTGTTGATGCTAGCTAGCATCAGCAGTCTTAGTACTGGTAACGTTGGTAATAATATTATGAGCATTACCACTCGCTTCACCATTATTAGTATAAGGGGTAGTATGAATGCTATCATTAGTATGAGTAGTAGTAGCAAGCGAGGTAGTAGTAATAGTAGTAGTAGTAGTAGTAGTAGTAGTAGTAGTAGTAGTAGTAGTAGTAGTAGCAGTAGTAGCAGTAGTAGTAGTAGTAGTAGTAGTAGTACTACTACTACTACTACTACTACTACTACTACTACTACTACTACTACTACTACTACTACTACTACTACTACTACTACTACTACTACTACTACTACTACTACTACTACTACTACTACTACTACTACTACTACTAGTATCAGTAGTTTTATTAGCACTCGGAGTGGTATCACTACTACGATGAATACATTTAACAGTGTGGTCGAAAAAAACACTGCTCATATAAGCATTACAACTCTCCAGTACAATTATTCATGGTAGTACTACTGGTGCTATGGCACTCATTATTGGTAATACTAGTCCTGGTATCCGTATAATTAGTTTTCTTCGTGGTATTAATTGGAATTATGAGTACTGGTAGTAATGAAACTTTTTAGTGTTGCTATTCGTATGAAAATGAGCTGTATGAATACTAGCTTGTGTTACTATTAGTACTGGTGTTCTTTTGATGTGTTGATAACATGGTTACTAGCCTCAGTAGTGTTGATATTGCCCTTTCTAGTATTAGTACTATTAGTATTGGCATGGTTCGTATCATTACTACTTGTAGCATAACGGTTAACATTCGAAGTAGTGTTCGTAATATGAGAGGCCGGGGGATTGTGGGGGTCCTCGTCGTTTCTCCGCCCCTCTTTTCTGAATGAATATTTGGTGTTTTGTTCTGCTTTATCATGCTATTTTCGAATTCTAGCATGGGGATGGGGAGGGATGTCAATGCTAATGCTAATTCCAATGCCAATGCTAATGCTAATGCTAATGCTAATGCCAATGCTAATGCCAATGCCAATGCTAATGCGAATGGTAATGCCAATGCCATTGCTAATGCCAGTGCTAATGCCAATGCTAATGCGAATGCGAATGCGCATGCTAACGCTCATTCCAATGCCGATGCCAATGCTAACGCAAATGCTAATGCCAATGCTAATGCTAACGCCAGTGATAATGCAAATGCTAATGCTAATGCTAATGCAAACGCCCATACTAATGCCAATGCTAATGCTAATGCTAATGCCAATGCGAACGCTAATGCGAATGAGAATGGTGATGCCAATGCTAATGCCAATGCTAATGCCCGTGCCAATGCCAATGCCAGTGCAAATGCCAATGCGAGTGCTAATGACAATGCCAATGCCAATGCTAATGCTGATGATAACGCCAATGCTAATGCCAATGCTAATGCTAATGCCAATTCTAATGCTAATGTCAATGCCAATGCTAATGATAATGCCAATGCTAATGATAATGCCAACGATACTGCCAATGCTAATGATAATGGCAATGCTAATGCTCATGCTAATGCTAATGCCAATGCTACTAACAATGCCAATGCCAATGCTAATGCTGATGCTAATGCTGATGCTAATGCTAATGGCAATGCCACTGTCAATGCGACTGATAATGCTAATGCTACTGCGACTGCTAATGCGAATGCTAATGTGAGTGAGAATGCTAACGCGAATGCTAATGCTAATGCTAATGCCAATGCTAATGCTGATGATAATTCTATTGCTCGTGATAATGCGAATGCGAATGCGAACGCGAACACTAATGCGAATGCTGATGATAATGTCAATGCTAGTGATAATGCCAATGATAATGCCAATACGGATGCTAATGCCAATGCTAATGCTAATGCCAATGCTACTGCCAATGCCAATGCTAATGCTGATGCTAATGCTGATGCTAATGATAATGCCAATGCTACTGTAAATGCCACTGATAATACGAATGCTACGGCGACTGCTAATGCGAATGCTAATGCGAGTGAGAATGCTAACGCGAATGCTAATGCGAATACGAATACCAATGCTAATGCTGCTGATAATGCCATTGCTCGTGCTAATGCGAATGCGAATGCGAACGCTAACGCTAATGCTCATGATAAGGTCACCCCACCTCAATACCTACCTTCTGGTGGGTTCTGATCATACATGTTCTCCCGTCCCCCCACATCTCTTCATCGCCCATCCACTTTCTTCGTTCTCTCTCTCTCTCTCTCTCTCTCTTTTTCTCTCTCTCTCTCTCTCTCTCTCTCTCTCTCTCTCTCTCTCTCTCTCTCTCTCTCTCTCTCTCTCTCTCTCTCTCTCTCTCTCTCTCTCTCTCTCTCTCTCTCTCTCTCTCTCTCTCTCTCTCTCTCTCTCTCTCTCCTCTCTCTCTCTCTCTCTTCTCTCTCTCTCTCTCTCTCTCTCTCCTCTCTATATATA